CAAAAATAGATGTGAGGTCAGGTGACCGTTAGTATCACTTTGCGCACTTGTTAGGAAAATAACTATTAAGAACTGTGAATCTATTTGATGCAACGTGACGGTCTAAGAAGTTCACTTCATATCAATCAACTCTTCTGATAATTTTCGCTGCCTAATTTCTGACACTACTTTTACCGTAAACTTTGTTATTATGGAACATGTTTCTGGAAGTTCTTTGTAATCAAAATTTTTCTCGTCGTTGATGAAAATTAATTAACCTTCTGATAAATTATCTTTACATTCAATTCGATCCTCCTCCATATCCCTAATCGCTGTCTTCGGGAGTGTCAGTGGCAATCATGCATCTACCATCTATGGCACAGGATAGTTTTTTGATGTTGATGGTTGTGGCTCTAGGTTGCCTTTTTGATGTGGATAGTTAGTTGCGGCTCTGGATTTGAATAATTATTATAGATGATGGGAGCCGGTTGATCCATTACGTGAGAGGAGAAAAAGTCTTCTTCTTTGAAGATGTATCGATAAAATGGCATTATTTCAGTGCATCTGAAACCTGATTTTTTTGTTTGTTGGTGCAGCGGTTCTAACCCAAGCTTGTTAACATGTCACAAGCAAATCCCAGAGCACCACATCCCGAAACACCTTGCATCATTCTCTTGGCGTCATAGCGTATGCGGCGAAACGGAAATACTCAAATTGGCGGCAAAGCTGTTCCGCTGGAAGAGATTATTCCTACTTGCGCAATCAATTCACCTCTTTCACGAGAAGTGGCTTCTTTCCAAAAATTTCAGGAACTCGTTGTACCGTCGTTACACCAGTCTACAAAAAATAATTTAAAATAACATGAGTGGTTCAAAAAAGATTAAATTTTACCTCATCTAAATTATAAATTTGCATGAGTTCTAGAGTTCGTTTGGGCATATTCATAAACTAATCGCCTTGTTGCGTTTGGCTTCAGACCGTAAAATATAGAGGAACATTCCAGTGGATATTTCTCTTAAGCGTTTTTCATCTGCATAGAAAATACTTATGACGTTATAAAATTTGGTGTAACATAACATTTTCGAGACCTTTTTCTTGGACTTGTCTGACATAGTTCAACCCGGTTACCAACCCTGGATTTCTTTACTCCATTTTTTTCCTATCTGGATAGGACATGTTATTGTCAATTCAACTAGCTTGTTTCATGGAATCAAGTCAGAACTCCCTGTCAGTCTTTTTCTATGTTCTTATGAGTGTTCTTATTGTTATGTTCTTGCTGAACTGAAATGGAATATAATAATATGTTTCAACCATCATGTTGCCTTAAGTTTTTGTTGCAGTTTTTCTTTTTGAAGGGAAGCTATGGACAACAAGGGGAGATCCTGTGCAGCCTCTCCCCACTTTATCGGAATAGCCTAAAAATATCAAAACTTCCCATTGGTATTTTCGTTCTGTGAAAACATAAACCTTATCGGTTAACCTTGCTTTCTACTCTGACACAAAAAGTTAAACAAATACCATTAAAATAAATAATAAAATACTTACCTCGCGTCTTTGAAATATTAGATCAACAATGCCAGAAAAACAAAATTCCCATGAAAAGCTTTTTCAAGAAAAAAAAATATTTCACAAAAACAATCTGATCTGTGCCAGTTGACCATTCTGGAGATATTGTTGACGCCTTGGCGTGATAGATCAGAAAGCCGCAAGAGGCGGGAAATATTAGCGTGTCCATTGTCTCCCAGTGTCCCGATTCTATCCACCCTCCTCTTATAGTTTTGTCAAAGTAATAGTTCAAATTCAGATCCGTTTTTAGTCCGTCTTATTCAGCTTTCACCATTTCACTTGAAGAATTAGATACCTCCTCAGATTCAAACAACATTTCTGAATCCGAATCGCGAATCGGAATCGGATTCTCCAAGAGAAATAATGAAAGGAGGAATATTTTTGAAAGGTAAGTCTCCCATGTATTTTGTCCAGTCTTTTGGAATAATTCTGTCACAATGTCTACAAAAATTCGTTCACATGTCTGAGGTACATTTTGAAAGAGATTCACGCCATACCCTCGCAACCCTATCCGTGGATGGTGGCTGCGAAGTTATAGTTTTATTATAGAAGTTAGAAGTTATTACAAATCCCCCATGCCGTTTCAATAGGATTATATTGGCAATGATAAGGAGGTAATCTAAGAACTTCGTGGCCGTGGCTTTTCAAAATGTCAATTTTGTATTGTTTTGGTCTATTCCGAAATGGCTGAGTTAGGTCCCATAGTTGTTTTTTGGTCATTTTTGTGTCGAAGTCTACGTTATGTTTAACCAACCATTCCTGCATTTTGTCTTTCTTTGAAGAGAATGAAGGTGGTTTATCCTTCTGCTCTGAATGATATGGAGCGTTGTCCATGATTATTACACATTTCTCTTCAAATAAATTCAATGCAGGAATTAGTTGATCAACGACCCATTTTTGGAAGATGTCCGCGTTCATGGTATTGTGGTAGTCTCTCTCATTGATTCTACCCAGAACTACTCCCCGCATGCAAAATAGCGAGGGGTCAACCACTTCCCGAAATACATGTACAATTGGCCCGAATTACCTCCGAAATACTTCGAAGTGCCTATAAATACCGTAAAGTACGTCGAAATACCAGGTATTCCCGTCCAAGTACGAGAAATCCCATGGAATAACCGTCGAAGTACCCGAAATACCCTCAAATTACCGCGCGAAGTCCCGCAATACTAAAAAAATTCTCGTTTATAACGATTCTTCTTGTGGATCACAGTGAAGAATTTTTGCTTGGATTTTTGTATCTTTTGATATGATGGATTATATTCGGATTCGGACACACAAACAACAATTAAATCAATAGTTGCAGGAATAAGAATAAAACATTAACATCAACGGAATGAGAAGTGTGACTTCTCCAAAAATCATACAAAAAACAGGCTGTTCCATTCAAAAAACCGCTCATGCATGGTGTAACTCTTTGGTTTTTGGTTCAAATGATTTTTTAGTCTCATTTTTGAGTTCTCCAGAAAAAAAAATGTTCCAATTGGCTATTTTCAATGTTCTCAAAAATACAGGGAAAGTCAAAAATAATCCCTTGTCAACTGAGTTGTCAACCCATATTCAGTCCTCGTTGGATGACCGATGATCTTGTACTCTTAACAACTAAAGGGTCATTTACATCCACTTAACGTAACTTAACGTACGGAAAATTATAATTAACGTACGACACTGATAATTTACAGACTAGTGCAATCTGTGTGTCATTCATAATTATTATTGAAATCAACGTACGGATTTCCTCAAGTTGAAGTTGGTTCAGTTTTCCATGTGGTACGTTGATTTTCTTAATTTTTAAGTGGATATAGATATAAACAACTACAGATATACATGATCATCAACTTTTCTTTATTATTAATTTTCTGTATGTTAAGTTGAGTGGATGTAAATGACACTTTCATAATACGGATTACTGATACATATCAGGTAGTATATCTTTCCATTTGTTTCAATTAATCTGCAGTAAATCCAAATTATGTAAGTAAGCATGTTTAGCCCTCGATTTAGCCTGTTCGAAGATGGACTATAATTTTCATTCTATAATATTTCAATTTTGGGTGATAAAGAATAAATTATTCTCGGTGCATAAAAAAAAATACTTATAATTTTAAATAGCGCGAAATAACTCGGCTTACCGCGAAATACTTCCGAATTACCTCGAAATACTTCGAATTACCTCGAAATACTTAGAATTATCTGCAAATATTCCGAAATACTCGGCAATACCACAAAAAACTGGGTTCGAATTATCACCACCGAAATACTTTGAATTTCGCGAAATACTTGCGAAATACCGACATTTTCGCAATACGTGTACACATTTTTACAGAGTAGTTGACCCCTCGCAAAATAGTGAAACGTTTTCCCTCTGACTTAATTTTGGATGGGTTGCTTTTCATATCAGATTCGTGTATCCATCGACGAACTTGAGATCCGTTTTGGTAGATCCAAGTTTCATCTAAATACACGAATCTGATATTTTCGTTTGAATTTTTATATTGGATTTATTTCCGCAAAAATGTAATTTTGGCAGCAAGAACATGTTTCTGCTCACATAAAATTTTGCGTCCATTTACTGCTTTAAATTTATATCCCATAGATTTTAAAATTTTATATAAACTTGTTTGCCCTCCCTTAAATTCCAATTTTTTTTTTTGCGTATGTCAGTAATGTTTGTAATGTAAAATATTCATTTTTAGAATTGTATTTCCAAATTTGTCGTTGTAAATCTTCTTTAAACATTCGGTCCATAATAGTCTCTGTCTTTTTTGGTCGGCCTAAAGGTTTTTTGATTTTATATTGTCCAGTCAAAATTCTTTGAATAGTCCTGGTTCCCACCTAAAATTTAAGGAAAATGTTGGTTGGGCAAGAAATGGCTTCACATCTACATTTAAGTTATACCTACCTCAAATATATCTGCAAGTTGGGCTTCAATTGTTCCCTGGAGAGCCTCTGGTTTATTTTTTCTTAAATAACCATGACATTTTAATATTTTCCTTTTTTTCTTCTGAGATTATTTTCGGCATCTTCAATACGGAAGAAATTTGACAATGCCGAATTTTAAAAAATGTCATTAGATTTTGCAGGTACGCAAAATAGGTACCGTTTATAATATAGCATTATTGAAAAATGTATTGAAAAATGTGTTAAATTTGATTTGCCAGATAGGCCAAAAAAGTTTCATACTGCGGCACTTACGAAATTATGTAAACCACACCTAAAACTGTCTGGAATTTGACATATACTGTCATTATTATACGAGGGTCAACCTGCCAAATTTCCATGGATAATGCTACGCCAATAATAAGTGAAAAGCATATATATATCTGTTTCGCCTAGGTAAAGGTCACTGTTTCCGGCAGCCCTGATCAGATGTATTTTTCTATATCTACCTTTAGTACTAATTGAGTATTTCCTACCGACTCCTGCACTTTTTTTTAGCACCTGTTTCAGTAGTTATGCAAAAATTTAGAGGGCTCATGTCTGCCATAAAAAGAAATCTACAAACTAATCCAATTGTAGAGACTAACAGCCAATTGACAATCCAATTGGAGAAGGGCGCCGAAGCCTACGTCGCTTTTGAGAAGGTCGATGAAAATACTTACAATTTAGTTCATACCGAAATACCTGAACAGTACCAGGGCCAAGGACTGGGACGGGAACTTGCTAAGGTTTGTTTTTTTTTTTAAATTTATTTATTTCGTTTATTTAGCCATAGCTTATCGTGCAACTTACATAATATATAAAATCACCGAATTAACATAAGTGACAAAGACAAAATGAATTTTAAATTTAACATATAAACAACAATTATTCTGAAGGTAATATTGAATTTTTAAAAAACTGTAAAATGTTAAGCCTATGAAACTCCTAAAAGTATGGCTACCTATACATATATTCCTTTTTCCTTTCACAAAATACAAAATCAAAAGACTACAAATAAAAAGAAATTCAAATCAATAAAAACAATGTTACTTATTCGTGCCTTACTCTGGGACATACATATCACATTGAGTCAGTAGATGAATTTTTAATTTTCTTTTAAAATTGCTAAGAGTATCACATGACTTCATTTCATCCGGTAACTGATTAAATTCATTCATACCCGTAAAGTATACCGATCTTGTTGCGGATGCCCCACATCTATGTTGTGTATAAAAGTTGTTCTGTTGTCTAGTGTTATGATCATGCACCTGGCTATTATAAACCTTGTTGTCAGATATAATGAACAAGTCCAATTTTAGTTTTAAAAATAAACACCAGTACATTATATTTAGCATATTCAACAACTGGAAGCCACTGAAGCAGTCTGAGCATGCTCTTTACAGAAGTATACTTGCTACATGAAAGTATAATTCTTATAGATCTATTTTGAAACTTTTGCAGTCTTTGGATTTCATTTTGGTTAGGGGCATAAAGTATTACAATGAAGGAGAAACAAAAAGTCAAATCTCACAATTCCAAAAAAGAGAATATATTTTTCAATAATCACTCATTTGACTACCATGGTTTCGGGGTCAAAACCTTACACTCCATCTTCAGGTCGAAAGGAATTCAGGTAACAAAGTCATAAATGTGTAAAAAATGTAAAAAAGGTGTAAAAAATGCAACAACATACAAAAAACAGTTAGGGGACGAATGGCCATACAAGTCGAAAACTCTAACATGTAATAGGTTGTATTTTTCGTTTTTTCATAATAAAATTTTTAAAATTTTTCATTTCTAAGGCACATGGTATCAGCCTGATACTATGTGCTCTTCTATTGTATTACACAGTATCCCAAAGTTATTATCAATTTTTTTTTTTTTTTTAGAGAATATTTGACCATCTAATCGTCCAAAGAAGCCTTAAACTACAACTAAGCTGCGAATTTTTACAACGCTTCTACTTCCAAACACTCCCCACTTACAAAGGACATGTCATAGAGGATTTCACAATTGACTAAGAATACCTGTCATCATGGAGCCCATAGATTATTTTGCAAAAATCTTTTATCACTTTCAACATAAATATCATAATTTATTGTTAAGCACCTGCAAAGATGCTATTGCAAAATTTCCATCAAATGCAGCATTCAAATTGTACCATTCTCTGGGCTTGATGCTTACCAATCGACTCGAAGAGGGTGTGCACGATCTTGAAGGTATTACTCAAGAAAATGATATTAAACTTGCATCTACTATAGCGCTAATGTACGGACATAAATTTTTGGGTGCGGCTGGCAGGGATATTTTCGTAAAGTTAGACATTCAAATGAAAGAGTACAGAAAAACTGCTGAGGCTCAGGATTTCTATAATTCAGCTTTTGTCCTGGTTACGTTGAATAAAGCTGAGAAAGCTTTGGATTACGCTGAAAAAGCTGTATCAATTAAAACCTCCTCGGAGTTTTTAACTTTAAAAGGCTGGATACTTCTAATGCTAAAAACATTAGGAAAGCACAATACTACAAATATAAAAACAATTTTCCACAATGCTTTGCAACAAAATTCAAAAGATTTATTGGCAATATTAGGATACACCGAGTGTTGTTTGCACTTAGGCGAGTTTCCAGAAGCCTTAATTTTTATTAATCAAGCTGTAGTGAAATTTCCAACGACCAATTTACCATTGATACAAAAAATAAAAGTACACTTTGCTTCACAAGACTGGGACCAAACGTCTGAAACAATCAGCCGTTTTAGTATTATGGAAGGAGAAATTCTCTATGGCCTCAAATATGAAGTTTTGATTAGTCTATGTCATAGACAAAACTATAAAGAAACTTGTAGTAGTATCAGAAGATTTTTGGAGTTACTAAGAAAATTTGAACCAAATAATACATTAGTACTACTAGAGGCTTCAACATTATTTTCAAAACTCTGCAGTAGAAGAGAAGATATTTTAAAAGAAACTATATCAATGTTAGAAGCTGGTATACAAAGTAACATAGACAGCGCTGACTTAGTTGTTGAATTAGGATATCAAAACTTTTTACTAGGCAAAATCAAAGAAGCAATTCGTCTATTTAAATCAGCCACTAAAATCGATGAGGGTTGTTTTGAAGCATTTCTAGGCCTTTCTATTTGTGAATACGCAGAACACGGAAAAAGTGATCAGCTTCAAAAACAAATCCAATATTTATTAGAACTTAAAGACGCGAATAACTCCTTACCTTTACATTTGCTTCAAGCTAAAACTGCTGAAACTTCTGCTGGAGCACTCAATCACCTAAAAGTAATATTCGATATCAAAACTCATTTACTTAAAGCCAATTATTACTCAGATAAATATTTACAAAACTTAGATCCTGATTTTACTTTGGATGTTATCAAAGAATATTTACAACACACAACCTCTAGTAAAGAAGTTTTGGAGTATGCGCTGGAGTTGGCTAATTTGATAGCAAATAGCTGTCCGAGCATTTCTGAGTCATTATATTTCAAAGCTAAACTTCAACTAATAAAAGGCGACAGTGTTTCGGCTTTAAACTCTTTGGCCATGCTGTCAGATTCAGCATCCAGTGAAGCAAGCTTGCTTATGGCACAAATACAAGTTAAAAATGGTCAATTCGATCGAGCAGCTCAAAGTTTGGAAACTTGCATGAGCTCTAATTTTAAAATAAGAGAAAATCCTCTGTATCATTTCATTAATGCCCTAGTCGATAAAAACAGCGGCAATTACGGGGATGCTATCAAAGCACTCACAACAGCTTTGAGTTTGTTGAATACAACTGTGAAAAATAATGATGTTTCGTTGGTAGATAAAGCTTCGATTTATGTGGAGTTGATAGATTCTTTGAATATTGTCGGACAAACTGATGAGGCTTTGAAAATTTTGGAAGAAGCGACTCAAGATTTACAAGGCACGCCGGAGGAATCGAAAATACTGATTCTGAGCGCTGATAATTTACTCCAAAGGAATAACGTCCAAGGGGCTATTGATTTGCTCAATAAAATTGGCAAGGAGGAAAACTGTTATCGGGAGGCACGGATTAAGATAGCTGATGTGTTTTTGAAGTACCGAAAGGATAAATATGCATTTTTAGAGGTGAGTACTATTTTTGTTATGTGCGACCAAGAACCATTTGGCGTTGCCACTTTGAGTTTAGTATTTATTCATAAGATTTTATTTTTGCTTACTTATTGCTTCATTAAGCTGTGTCATGGTCCATTAAAAAATTCCGCTTTTATTGGGAGAACAAGTAGGTATTACGTATTGCTGTCTCTTGACCCTACAGAATATTGATTGAGCCCATATAGATTTAACAACTGTCTTCTATGTCTTTGACTGAGCCGTATATATGTTACGGTTAATATGCAAACTTGGCTAGTTTGTAAACTAGCTGGATAGTTTACAAACTAACTAACCCACTGGCTATTTTGATAGAAAACACAATTTTCACCAAAATAGCAGCTAGTTTGCAAACTAACCAAGAGTCTTGGTCAATTTACTCGAAATTATTGAGAATTCTATCTAAACTGCTGGTTAGTTTATAAACTATCCAATGTAGCCTGGCTAATATGAAAACCATATTTTCTAGTAACACAAAATAGCCAAACCTTTGACTAGTTTGTAAACTAACCAACCAATTTTCTGGCTAATTTACAAACAAAGTTAGGTAAAAAATTCGACGCTTCTTTAATAGATCTGTATAATAATAAAGCGAGTAATTTCCAACTTTACAACGAATGAAATCTGGCAAAATATTTGGTTGTATGGAGGATTTGTTTGATATTATTAAAGAATCTTACCAATTAACTGGGCACTGCGGAAGACAAGTTACAACAAAGCTAATAAATATTTAAATATTACCCAAAAAATTGTAACTTTGTTCCTCGATGGATGTGAGATTGCTAGTTAACAAAGAACAAAGCAAAAATTGTATTCTTTTCATCTCTAACTTATCGAATAAGAAATATCATGAACATTAAACTTTATTCGTAAATTAGCCAGAAAATTGGTTGGTTAGTTTACAGACAAGCCAGAGGTTTGGCTATTTTGTGTTACTAGAAATCATGGTTTTCAAATTAGCCAGGCTGCATTGGATAGTTTATAAACTAACCAACTAATTTAGTTTTCTCAATAATTTCAAGTAAATTAGCCAAGACTTTTGGTTAGTTTGCAAACTAGCTGCTATTTTAGTAAAAATTGCGTTTTCTATCAAAATAGTCAAGGAGTTGGATAGTTTACAAACTATATACATTCATTTAGGTGTCGTGACCATTATTGTATAGTATATTTACATATTTTGGTTTTAGCCCTATTCTGGCAAATGGCAAATTTATAGAGAGTAACTTAAACTTGCTCTCTGTTTTCTTCTTCTTTGGATTTTGTGAGCTCGAGTCTTCTTGGACCATCGTCCAATCTGGTTTTACTATGGAAGATGTACTGGTTAGTACGTATGAGTGATAAGTACCCATGTCTTCCATAATGTTGTTCATTTTCCATCTATTTTCACGTTCCTAGGATTTAGGAAGGGAAAAAATTAAAAAAAAAACATGACACGCTTCTCGCTCTGTGGCTCTCAGAGCATTACACAACATTAGCCAGGAAAATGAAAGATATAGCTCTTTTAGGATGATAAATTATTGAAAGCCGGTCAAAGTTTTGAAACATTTTTCAAAACTGGTTTAAAACAGTTTCACAATGACGTCATAACTTCTCTTGTGCGAGAAAATGGTTTAAAAACGTAGATTGGATTATATTTCGAAACGGTTTGTACCAATTTTGTGTGGAATCATGGGTTCATCGCGAGCTATACTATTTCAAACCTGATTTGAACCAGTTTCAAAAAAGTGAACGCGAGAAAACAGCTCAAATCTGCCGAAAATGACAGAAGTAGCGGCGGCAACAATCTGCTCTTCATCAATGTCCATTTGAACTAAATAAACGTTATATGCATGAAACGCCACTGAAAATCGACGGCACTCTGCTTGGAAACTTTGCCGAACAATTGTCAAGCCAAACCTTCGCCATAGCACCACGCGGTATGGGAAGGCAAATATCCGTGCGAATGACGAATATTCGGCTATCCGCCAAATACACGTAGCGTCTGGGACCGGCTTTAGGCAACCTAAGCAAACACACTATTGCTCATTTAGGCAAAAATGGGCAAAACTATCTACTAAGCTAAAGCCCGTATGACATCTGTGTATTTTTCTGTGAATTTATTCATGTAGTTCAGGGTGACAACCGAAAAACTTCACACGTAACATAAATCAGCATTATGAAAAACAAAATAATGTTGGCACCCTGAACTACATGAAGAAATACACGGATAAATACACATATACGGGCTAAAGCTAATAGTTTTATAACTTTATATTTTCATTAATAAGAAAATTTATGATCTTGTTGTTGTTTTTTGATATCTTGAAGGGCAGTCAAAGAGAATGTGATTTAAATTTCCTTTGCTTCCACATTTGCAATTTGGGTTATCCTTTATTTTAATTTTGTATAAGTGTTCTACTGGGGTTAGACAATGATTAGTTCTCATTTATACATGTCATTGTTATACTTTTTCTCGATCTATATTTTATTTTATGGAACCATTGTATTTTTTGGGGTATAAGTTGGTTGTCAGAATAATATGCACTACCCCCCTGGGACCACTCTTGATATAATTCAGTCCACTTTCGCCATAAATGGTCTTTGATCAGTAAAAGGTGTATGGTGTTTTGTGGCTTACATTTAGTAAACCTTTAACGTCAGAAATCTCATTTCCTCCTATGCTTGTATGATGGTATACAAATTAGTTCAATATTGCCATTAGCGGTCAAAAGTTCTTGTCTTGTACTCAGGGTAATACAGTCTCTTTCTCTGCATATTCCCATCCTCGCAATAGCCTGTAGTGCATTCAATGATTCTAATACTTTGGTATGTACTCCGTACTGTTTCCCGAATAGCTAGCATTTATCCTGTGCAAATTGATGTTTTGTCCTTTAGTCTATTATAGATGTTTGTGTTATTTTATTTAGAGAATTTCATACATTTGTCAAAACTGGTATTCCAACAATAAATTGACATGTTTTGATTGTTGATTTGAACCAATCAGATTGTAATTACGCGATAATTTGCACTAGTGCAAATTATCAGATAATTGCATACTAACTGGTGCGAAAACTGGTGTTTTGACATTTTTTGACAAAAAATTTAAATTTTTGATTTATGAAATTCTCTCATTAAATACAACTCGTGCAATAGAAATATATTTATAATTTTCGACAAATTTGCACTCATGCGTTTTTAACTGAAAAAGGCACTCGTGCACTACGTGCACTCGTGCTCTTTTTCAACTAAAAATGCATTCGGGCAAATTTCCCAAAAATTATCAATAATTTCCATTGCACTAGTTATATTACTATTGAATATATACCACATGCCAAATTTTGGGGATCCACTGAAGCATCCATAAATGCTATGTGCAGCAATGCTAGTTCAGTTGCAGCAATGTGATTGAATTCTTTGCTGTTATTAGTGTTTTATTTTGGAACTGAATTCTTTTGGTTTGAATGTTGTATGGGATGGGAAGTTATAAGATAGTAGTTTTGTGTCTTTAAACATTATCATGATATTGAAGCATATTATCAATATTGCTGGTGTTATTTTCGTCGCCAATAAGGAGGGTCTTCATTTAAATTTGGTAGAAGTTGAGTATTTGTCGTTTTATTTTATCATTGTTTAAAGCTATTATTCTAGACGAAAATTTAGCAGCTAACCAAATTCTACGAAGGTCTAGTGGCATTTCCCCTACGTCTGATAGCAAAGCAAAGCTCTAATGGGTGTGGATCTCATAGACCCTGTACTTATCCGTATCTCATGATGTTTAATCCCTTTTGCGCTTCATTTATACTGCTATTTATCTGTGGTGTCCATCTGAGTTGGCTGTCAAATATGATACCTAAATATTTATACTCCAGGACCCACTCTATTGAGCTTGATTGTAGTTTTTAAGTTTCTTGTTGATCCTTTGGAAAATATCATTGCTTGTGTTTTGTTGATTGAAATGTCCAGTCCGTAATGGTTAAGCCACATAGCAATTCTCGTGAACTTGTTTCGCATTTTTCGAATATCCTCTGCTATGTTAGACGTTTGTATAAATACGGTTAAATCATCAGCATATTTCAATAGTTGTATAATATCCTTATCTTCTGGAAAAAAATCAATTATTGAACACATGATTACGTTAAATAATACTGGGCTAAGTGGCGATCCTTGTAGGAGTGCCTCCTTGTTTATGTACCTAGGACCTATGACTTCTCCGGTATTTGGGGATTCAACATAATCAAGTCGGTTTGTAAGGATATTTTGAATAAATCTAATAATCCTTCCTGTAAGTAGTTCATTAAAATTGGGATGATAATATCATAAGCTGCTGATATATCCAGAAAAATAACAATGACCTTATGTCCACTTGTATGTATATTGCTGTTGATAGGTATATTGCATTCTCAATAGTGCCTCGACCTTTCCTAAACCCAATTTGTAGGCTATTAAACACATTATGAAATTCTACAGTGTGATCTAGCCTCATCTGAATGATTGATTCCATTAACCCTCCTACACAGGATGAAAGCCTGATTGGTCTATAGCTTAAATGATCCACTGGGTTCTTACCATGTTTTAATATAGGGCAAATGACTTGGCTTTTTCATTCCTTAGGTATTTGCATTGTGGCATTAAAAATTTTGCTAAATATGACTACTAATTCCTGTTTGTGCTCATCTGGTAAATTTTGCAACATCTCATTGGTCACATCGTCCATTCCTGGGGCTGACTCTCTCTTATTTTGTAGGACAACTTCTAATTCCTCTGTTGTTATTGTTTCTATTAGATACACATCCTGTTCTAGCAAAAATTCTTGTACTGAATTGTCTGTTTGTGTCATTTTTATTAACAAGTTATTCAGCCAATTTTCTTTTTCTTGCCTATGTGGTTTTTCCATGTATGATCGGTCAAATATCTTGATATTTGGTTGTGATTGGCGTGCAGCGGTTCAGGTTGCCACAAAAGTCCTGGAACTCCTGAGTTTTTTTTTTTCGATTTTG